CAGATGGAGAGTGTAGCTGGACTACCACCTCAGCCCCACCATGGTTGGGGCTGAGGTAAGACAATTTATGAATATGACACCTCTAGATTGCCGGAAATGGCACTCTCAGACCTAAATTCTAATTCTAATTTTCCTTTGTTTTTTTTCCATTTTTAAAAAATAATTTTAAAAAAATTAGGGCCGGCTCGGCCCCACTTGAATCTGCCACTGATTATTATGGTGTCATTGCGAGACTGCGTCAACGTAACACTGGAGTTTTTAAACTTTTGGTAGGCTTATCACTTAATCGAAATACCATCCGTGTCAAGTAGAAAAAACAGTAATCTTATGTATGTAGATAATATTAAACACTAGTATATACGTACGGGTCATAATAATATACAAAAAGAATAAATCGTTTATATTAGAAATTGTGCACTTTTGAGTTTGTAAAAGTATTGGCCTAATAAGGATACATGCTTCGAATTTCAACAATGTTCAGTACATTGTTTTCACAATAAATTTAGCCTCTGATAGTTGTTGCACCCATAAAATCGATCTAGTGGGTTTCTGAGATGGTTACAAAATGTTTAAACAATTGCGTTTTTACTTGGTTTTGGTCCGGAAAATACGTACCGCACTTAGAAAAGTGAACAGATAAAATTCATGAGTCATGCGTAATTGTTATTCTTTCTATTCGCGTGTAAAAGTGGGGTTTTAATTATAGAAGATTGGTGAAAAGTGGGGGTGGGGGACAATCGATACCATGTCCCCCCATTTTGAAAAGTAGGCAAAACTCTAAAATGTTTAGCCCATAAATATGATGTGTGTGAAGAAAACATTAAACAATATTTTAATTTGGACCTTCAAAAAGCAGTTAAAAAGAAATGGCTATGAAATTTTAGGGGGGCTAAAGCCTGTTAAGCCCCCTCTAAATCCACCCCGCTTTTAAACCTAACTCTGAAATACATTCTTACAATACTAGGGCTTCACATGAACTTCATTTACCTCAACCAAAACTCACTCAAATGCAACACAATATCCGTTACAGCGGTACTAAATTATTTAACAATCTTCCTAACAATATAACACTGTCCTCCACAAGTAAACTTTTCACATACAAATTTAAAAAATACCTTTCATATTATAATTAATGTATACTTAGTCAGTCTTGTTTCTTCTTTTTTTTTTTTTATTGATTTATTTTTTACATCAATTAATTGTGCTTCCTCTATGTTTATATGTCTTTTTAGTTCTTCTTAATTATATATTTACTTATTACTTACTATAATATATTATCTGGCTAGCCCATCACAAGTTTTAATTGGAATTTTTGTTTCCAATTAATTTTACTTACAGGGCACATGCCTCTTTCAATTTAAATTATATTTACTAAAATAGTGTATATACATATAATACCTTAGATATTTGTTAAAAATTATATATTTTTTATTGTTAT